GCGTTGCGGCGCCGCTTCGCGAAAAATCGTGACTCCTGACTCGTACCCGAGCAAATGACCCTGATGAGGATCATTTATAGTTGGATTTTACTATAACATTTTAGAGCAAAATCTAGCAGCAACTGTGAGATTCAAACCAGGATTACATTTGTTTCGATCAATGAATAGATAGCAAACCACTTACTGGTCACTCCGTCCGGATCCGCTGAGTACAAGATAGGGTGTTTGTAAAAGCTCCTGCTTTTTCAGCTGTTTAGACAAGGTACCAAGAGGTGTGTCCGAACTGTTCATCTAAACAAGAAGAATTAAGAAAGATCTGCTTACAGTGATAGAATGCAAACCTGTTTCAGCAACTCCTTCTTATCTCTCCTTGATATTCTCTTCTCTGTCTGTTTCTTACCAGGATTACGGCCATGAAATCTAGAGAAGTGCAATTATATACCAATTGGCAATCAAGAATTATTGACAAACTTGTAAGAAAGCTCTCGGTAAGCATCTTTTTGGTCCATTACCCGTCCTTTATCATCTACATAGTGAATATTCACCTGAATTTTACATTTTAGCAATATACTTTTAACGAAACAAACCTCTGGATGATAGTCTTTCTTTTCGATAAATGGCATGATCGGACCTCGTCCGGTCGTTCCGAGACGATCAAGTTTCTTAGCGTACTTGTCCTCGATATCACTGAAGTAAACGAATTGTTGGCGAGTAAGATGTACACTATTTCCTCTCGAATGTATAAAATAGCAGCAAAGTCCCTAACAATTAGGAAGCACTGGAATACAACATCAACTTTCCCGCAACTACTCACTATTTGCTTTGCTCTATCTGCGTTTTCGACTGGTTTCGAAGATGATCCAAACTTTGCGTAGCTTTCTTTTTGACTTCGTTATCATTCAGGTAACCCTTCAAATATATACAATCTAAGATCCACAAAAGTTCGAAGTGAACGTCACCTTCTGAGCGGCCAACTTCAACATTGCACCAACACCTTTCGAGACATCAGCTTCCTTACCAAGAACATTCTCATACTCTTTTTTGTCGCCATCTTCATCGGAGTCAGTGTCGGAGTAGTCTGCCTGAAGATAATGTTGTCCTTGAAATGAGAGCAACATTCAGTGCACCAGGCTCATGAAATAGAGCATCCGGCGCAGGAATCATGTCTCTACTAGATAAACCACTTACCACTTCCTGTTTCACTCGCTGCAATTCTTTCTCATCATCACTGTCTAAGGCAGCACTGCTACTAGGTTTGTCTGACCATTTACGAACTGACTCCCTATTCTTCGCTCTTTGTCTTCTCCGCGACTCTTTCTCCTTTTGTGCTTGTTTCCATCGCCTAAAATGATATCGGTGACGGATGTGCAGTTTTAAAATATTGCATCAAATATGCTGAGCGGTTTACAGTCCACTGCTAAAGATATAGTCTTCACACTAACTAAAAGCACAATACATGTGTCCCATAACTCTGATCTTGAAGATGTTGGAAATAAACATACTTTACAGCAGAGCCTCCGTCATCAATTTCTTCCTTCATCTCCGAAACATCTATAGCATCGTTGCGGTTGCCAGCCAAACCATAGGTTGGAATATCTCCTAAAAATG